TCGTCCTTCTCCCCGTTCCCCCAAACCATCCCACAGCCCGTGCCTCTTGCTGCGCATTGCGAACAGGGTCGGCGGCACCGGCCGTAAGGCCTTCGCAGTATCGTGCCGCCGTCGCTTTCTGCAGCTCGCTTGGTGCATGCGGCCTGGCACGCAAGGATTCCACCGATTCTCGAATCCTCGCGAATCGGGTGCAATTTAAGCATCGGTGTTCGGCCAAACGCCGACAAACTCTTAGATCATGCGAGTCCAGCACTAATTTGGGGGTAGACTCGACTCGAACAACTGTCGACGGCGTACCCTCTCGAGGCTGGAGCTCTACTGTCTTCTTGGCCGCAACCTGGACCATCCAGGCGAACGCACTCGAGTTGCCCTTGGCTGCTGCCAAACTCTGCTTGTGACAGTCCTGCAAGACCTGAGCTGGCGCGTGAGAGAGGGCGCCCTTTTTGGCGGCCTCTCTCGGGGGCCTCAAACGCAGCCGAGCGCTCCCGGTGGGCAGGGATCCGCTCAAAGGAGGGAGGTGGCCCATCCGAGCAGCTCCTACGAACCTTATTATCAAGGCGTGCCGCGATCGAGACGTGGCAGCGTCCGCCGACCAAGCTACCCCGTCCCGCACCAGGTTCAAAGGATCAGATCTCACTAAGGCTGGCCTCTGGGGAAGTGCAACAACTTTGAGTGCAGCGTGGTGCTCGGCCCGCGGCGCAGTCTGCGCTACGCCTGGCAGAGCGCCGAACATCGCCCTTAAAACCATGCCAGAGACGTCGGCCTCAACTACCGACCACCCGCATCTGGTCAGCCCTGGGATCGACGACGCCTGGCCCGATCCGTCCGTGAAGACCCTCCGCCCCCATGCCCCTCGCCAGTCCCCCCGCCCCAGGACAGGATACTCATCGCTAGGAAGCGACGGCGTGGGCGGCATGGGCGGCAGCCCGAAACTTAGGCACCAGCTGGCGAAGAAAACTTGGCCTTCATGGCCGACCTGAGTTCCAGGATGCTGTCTGGTACTAATTCGTCGAGCCCGTCCAGAGTTGCTTCGCACTTGAACCTTTGATGGGCCTCGTTGCCGGCCGCTGGCTGACAGACAAAACATTGCGGCGCACTGCGGAGCCCCATGGAACGAAACCGTTCGGGGGTCCACACTCCCGATGACCAACTCGTGCGCAGGGCTCCTCGCCGCGTCACGTTCGAAACCGGCAGCGCTGCCTTGCGCGTGCCCCTCCTCCAGCAGCTCTCGCCCAGGCTGTTGGGGAGGTTTTGGAGGGTCCTTTCTACCTGCCAGCGGCGAAGGCTCTCCTCGAGTAGACGCAGCACACCCGCTGGACAGACCTTAAACCGCTTGATCTGGCTGTTTGTCGTCCGCAAACACAGGTTGGGAACGCGCAGTCCACCCCGCGCGCGCGAGCGTGACCCAAACCGTCGAGATGGGGCTCCAATCCACGAGGCACGTTCCCTTAATTTACGCTTGCCTGCCTCCCAAGCTCTGCGGAGACGACCAAGCGCGACCTTAGTGACCCAAATAAACGGCCCCACAACAATCGGAACCGTCGCCTCGAAAATAAGGTCGAACCTGTCGTCCTTCTGCGTGGCAGAAAACAGGGTAAGCGACGCTTTGGGCTTGGCCCCGCGCATGCATCCCGCGAAGGTGCGGAGCTCGCGGAGCGCGGTGCCCGGAATTCCCGACGCGCCAGCTTCGTGGCCGCCTGCTGGGGGCAGCCCTGCCCTCCAAAGAGACCCGACACCCTGCCCCGCAGCGCGCTTCAACCCCATACTTTACGCCTACGTGACATCAAATTCTTCAACCTTGCCTTCCCTTGCAGGCGAAGAACTCGCGCGCCGTGAATTTCATGCCCTAGGTTCCGGATCGCTCCCCTGGCCTTGATGTGCACTGGCTTGACCAGCCGAGCGGACCCATCTCGTCCCCGAGCCGTGTTAGCTACGCAGCCAGACTTGCCAGGCTGAGCTATCAGCCCCAAGGGCCGAGCAGATAGGCAAACACCATGCGCAGCGTCAGCCAGATCTCTGGCCTGCTCACCCGCCCTCGCCCGCTCCCCCGCCCAGTGAAAGCTGATATCATCGATCAGAGCTCGTGGCCTGACCGACGGATACAGAGTCATGCTGTCCTTGAGCACTCGCAGCATGGCGGTAGCCATGGAACAGCCAACTAGGATTCCCCGAGTGGGCTGAACTGGTACCGAGATGAAGAAGACGGCTCGGAGGCAACGAGGTTGGATGTAGGTTTGAATGGTCACCCACGCTCGCCTCATGGGGAACTGGTTCAACCGATCCTCATGCAGCAAACTGCACAGGCTGAATGTTTCATACATTTCAACATATCTATAAACACCGCGAGGCGATCCTCACCGAACTCGCGCGCTATTTCAGCGTCTAACTTTAACGAGAACGCACTGTCCGACGAAGACATGTCAGCCTCTGAGCCCCAGAAGCATGTCAGATCATGCTCAGACCTCCACTAGGCCGCAGTGGGCCTCCGAGCACGCCCTCA